GGGAGTCTAAGAGTCAGACACAACTGAGTGACTTCACTTTCACTTTTCACTTTCATGCATTGGAGAAGGAAACGGCAACCCACTCCAGTGTTCTTGCCTGGAGAATCCCAGGGACAGGGGAGCCTGGTGGGCTGCCATCTACGGGGTCGCACAGAGTCGGACACGACTAAAGCGACTTAGCAGCAGCAGCAGCAGTATTCCAGTATGTGAGCAGATCCTTGTCTATTTGACCATTCTGATGGACACTGGGATTGTTTCCACTCTTTTGCTAATACAAATAGTGTTCACTGAACAACTCTATGTATACATCTTTTTGTATTAAAGTCAATGTATCTTTAAAAATATATATATATTTATGAGATTCTAAATAGGCTCCGAGAACCAGAGCTTTTCTTTTATTTATTTGGTTTCGTCTGGCCTTAGTTGTGGGATGTAATCTTCATTGTGTCACTCGGGATCTTTCGATGCAGTGTATGGACTCTAGTTTCGGCATACAGGCTATGCCTGTTGAGGTGCTCAGGCTTAGTTGCTCCACGGCATGTGGGATCTTAGTTCCCTGACCAGGAATCAAAACCAAGTCCCCTGCACTGCAAGCCAGATTCTTTATCACTGGGTTACCAGGGAAGTCCCATGCCAGTGTATCTTTAGGTTAGATTTCTAGATGTTGAATTTTTGGATTGACAAGTGCACATATATGAAATTTTGCTAAAGACTGCCAAATTTCTCTGTCCATGGATTGTACCATTTTTGCATTCCCACTAGCAAAATATGAATGCCTGTTTCCTCACTACCTTGTCAACACATTACATTGCCAAACTTAGATTTTTGCTGATCTGATAGATGAGAAATAGTATTCCACTATAGTTTTAATTTGCATTTCCTTTATCATATGTATGATTAAACATCTTTTCGTATGGCTCATTTAAGTGCTGTTAAATAGAACTTTTATTTTCATTTCTTTGTGTTTGTGTGTGTGTGTGCTGTGTGTTTATATCACTTGCCTATTTTCCATAGAGTGGTTTTTCTTTTCTCTATTTGTTGAAATCCTTTCTGTAGTAGGGATATTTACAATGGCATGCAGGAGCTGATGGATGTTGCCTTATAAGTGCAGATGGTTTAATTTTCAGGAATTTGGTTAGTCAGTTGACATCATGTTGGTACAGCTGATGTCATCTTGGCAACTTAAAAATATGCTATGGTGGAAGTATTTATGCCATGGGCAAATGCCACGAGTCAGGGCTCCTTCTAGCCCTCCCCTCCAGAACACACCACTGGACATTATTCCTTTGTCTATAAGTTGAAAATATTTTTCCTGGTTTTCAACTTTTTTATCTTGCTTATGATGTATTTTGCTACACTGTTGTTTTGTACAGACCAAATTTCAGTCATTTTCTTTATTGCCTCCAGATATGGTCAGTGAGAGTAACATGGAAACATACTTTAAAATAGATAGCCAATGGGAATTTTCTGTATGACTCAGGGAACTCAAACCAGGGCTCAGTAACAACCTAGAGAAGTGGGATGGGGAGGGAGATGGGAGGGCTTCTCAAGTGGGAGGTGACATGGGTAAACCGATGGCTGATGCATGTTGATGTCTGGCAGAAACCAACACAATACTGTAAAGCAATTATCCTTCAAGTAAAAATAAATGAAAAAAAAATGTCCCCAACTCCTTGATTATACAGAAATTCACTCATACTTTCTACTAGTATTAATATAGTTTTATTTGTTTAAAAAATTGTAAATCTTTGATCTGTTTGGAATTTATCTTGATGAAGAAAGAGATAGGTAAGTGTTAAAAAATATTGCCTTGTATTTTCTGACTTCTGCTTCCTCTGTTCTCTTCTACTTTTGCCTAGATTTTCTCTTCCTTTTTCCTCTAACATCCTTGTTAGTTTGAATTCTATTCTCAGAAGCTCCCTCTCAGAGAAAGCATTTTCTATATTTCATCCAGCATTTTTTTGAGATTACTAATTCAGTCGTTGATTAGCTATGAGATTTTGGGCAAAACTATCCTTTGATATTTTTACCAATGCATTCCAAATGAAAAATAATCTTTTTCTTTTACAGTTAGAAATAATTTCAGGTAGTTCTATCAACAGAATCTGACTCACTGAATCTCTCCCTCCTTTTTTTAAAAAAATTTTTATTGTAGTTGCTTTACAAGATTGTGTTAGTTCCCACTGTACAGCAAAGTGCATCAGCTATGTGTATACATACATATTATATATATATATATATATATATATATCCCCTCTTTTTTGGATTTCCTTCCCATTTAGGTCACTACAGACCATTAAGTAGATCCCTGTGCTATACAGTATGTTTTCATCTATTTTATACATAATATAAATAGTGTATACATGTCAATTCCAATCTCCCATTTTATCTCATTCCTCTCTTTCTCTCTTGGTATCTATGCTGTTGTTCTCTACATATGTGTCTCTGTTTCTGCTTTGTAAATAAGATTGTCTATACCAAATTTTTCAGATACCACATATATGCCTTAATATATGGAGCATTTGTTTTTCTCTTTCTGACTTACTTCACTCTGTATGGCAGTCTCTAGGTCCACCCAGGCCTCTACCAATGACTCAATTTTGTTCTTTTTTATGGCTGTCACTCCTTGAAACACATTCCATCAACTTCCAAGATACCGCACACACCTATCTGCTTCCTAATTAACTTGCTGTTCCCCTCGGGCTCCTTCACTGTTTCCTCCTCATCCCCTAAATCCTGGAGAACCCTAAAACTCAGATTTCAAACCTCTTCTCCTCTCATCTAAACCCATCCCCTAAGTGACTTTGTACTGGCTCATGGATTTAAACGTATCAACAACTCCCCAGTTTTATACCTCCAGCCTGGACCTCTATTACGCACTCAAAATTTGTACATCTAACTGCTACCTTATCAATTTCTGTAGATGTCCCAAAGGCATCTCCAAATTTACTTACCCAAAACAGCATTAATATTTTCCTCAAACCTGTTTCTCCTATAGTCTTTCCAAACTCAGTTAATGACAGTTCTATTTTTCTAGTAGCTCGGGGAGAAATTCTTCTTCCACTCTCGAATCCACCTACCCACAGGTTCAATCCTGTGGCTACAACTAGCAGCTCAGCTGGAATGGCTGAACCCACTCAGATTGCTGGGCTTCTGTCCACATAGCCTTCTCTCAAACTTCTTCAGATCTGGCCTTTTCAGGAATCCTAGAGAGCAAGCCCTGACATACAAGCACTTCTTAAATCTTTTTGATTTTCTTGGTGTCTTAATGTATTATTTGAGCTCAGTGTTTTTACTACTAGGGTAAGTTCAAGGGAGAAGAACCAACCCATATAAATGTGTGTGCCCATGGACAAAGGGCTGTGCTAAGCCCAGACACCAGGAGAGTTCTCAGTTTGACAGGTACTTATTCATTCCTCATTTGTAATCAACAAACTTTTGCAAAGTTGCAGTTAGTTGGCGTTTTGTGGGTCCTGGTGATGTGAACACAGCACTCAGCTCTTCCTCCCCACTGATAGGACACTTCCTCAGCTATTTTGTTTGTTTTCTTTCTATGCTAAATAATCCCAGGATTTTCTTTCAGGTCTATTTTGCATCTAAACCCTCAAATGTTCACAGCTTTAGAGATCAGAAGGACTCTCTATGCACCTAGTTCTCCAGTGTTCTGTAACTTGTACTTGTCCAAACCTTTTCATTTTTTTGTTAGTTCTGTTCTTAAGTTTTCTGATCCTTTTATTTGCATTCTTTATCTAATCCTTTCAATGGATTATTTTGATTTTTTTCTAACTACATGAGTTGAATATTTAATTCTTTTATTTTCATTCTTGCTTTCTTAGTAAGAAATATGAGCTACTAAATTTCTTTCCATGTACAGAGCTGTCTACATATTGAATTTTCCCACCCATTCTCCCAGCCCAGATTCATTGGGGAGCAAGCTTTCTCTTACCATCTCTCTCTGATATAATTTCTATCTTTTAAATTAAAAGCAGTTTGGGGTCACTCATTTGGCAACTTCTGTGAAGGATGGCACTGTTTATTTTCACAGAACCTTCTCTCTGCCTTAGCATAGTGACTTTCCACAAAAATTGATAACAATAATAGATGACTCTAATGTAATACTTAACACTTACCCTGTGGCTGGCATTGTACTTTATACCCATAATTTGAACAACTCCAAACTAATCTTCCATGCCCATTTTACAGAGGAAATAGGTCTTTTTGTCTTGTATTTCTATTCCTGGAACATGAAAAACATGCCATTTTAGGGCCTTTTCTCGCTGACTTTGTCCCTCTTCCTCCACCTTCCCATTCAGTACTCAGAGCAAATAAATGACATTTCTTCAAAGCTTGACTGGCCACTGGATATAAAACAGCCTTCCTCCATGCACTCTATTTTATTTTGTTCAGGTTTGTGTTTTAGTTGCTCAGTCCTGTCCGACTCTGTGCAACCCTATGGACTGTAGCCCGTCAGGCTCCTATGCCCATGGGATTTCCCAGGCAAGAATGCTGGAGTGGGTTGCCATTTCCTTCTCCAGGGTATCTTCCCCACCTAGAGATCGAACCCAGGTCTCCCGCATTGCAGGAAGATTCTTTACCATCCGAGCCACCTGGGAAGTACCCTATTTTGTTCATAGTACTTATCTTAAATTACTTTGCACATTTATCTGCCTCCACCACTAGACTTTCAACTGCAGGAGTGGGAATTTAACTGAATAAATATTTATAGAATCAATAACTGAGACAATATGCTTGGGCGGGCCAAAGGCAAACAATAGAACCTGAGGAGGAGTCAGTATTTTTAGGCTCTGCCGAGTAAAAGCAACAGTTACTTTTGAATCTGAAAGTTTGATCCTGGGAAGTAAGAGACACCCCTCCAGAGACTTGTTACTTAGAAGCCTGTGCTCAATTTCGACTGGGATTCCTCTTCTGTGAAATGAGGAGGAGAAAGAACCCTTTGGGTTCACTGCCACCCACTGTGACTCTACTCAGATAAACTTACCTCAAAAACCGCCATTAGAAAGATAGGGAGGAGGAAGAGTCTCAGCAGCAGAGAAGGGAGTGGAAGGGACTGCGGGTTTAGGAGGAGAGGGGGGACGTCTGTTAACCCTGGGGACCGAGGGGCAAGGGTGAGGGGGCAGCAAGTGGGGGACGCGCAGAGGAGCGCGCCGGGGTCTGAGGAAGCGCAGAGCAAGCGCGGTCAATCCTCTGGGACTGAGCTAGATAGGGCCTGGAGTGCAGGAGCGGTGAAGGGCTGAAGGAGGGTTGGGGGGGAAGGGTGATATCCTGTAACCCAGAGGCGCGAAGCGGCGGTCAGAGGTCAGGAGGGGGCGCGGCAGGAGTGGCCAAGTGTCCAGGAGCCGGGCGAAGTCTCCTGCTGGGACTGGGCAGGACAGGGCGGGGCCCTGACAGGTGTGAGGTGCGGACCTGAGGGAAGTGGCGGACATTCGGGGGTCACCGCGGAGGGTCCCTGGAGGCGGAGAAAAACAAAGGCGGCACGGAGGGGAGTCGGCGGATGGGAACGAGGCGCCGAGGGCCAGCGGGGCGCGGGCCAGTGGCTGTCTCCTCACTTCCGGGAACGCCTGGGCTACGAGGCCGCCCCCTGCTCACCGCGCAGCCTGCCGGCCGGCCGGGACCGCGAAGTGGGTGAGCGCGCAGTTACGAGCCGAGTCAGGCCGAAGCTCCACTGTCCGCGCGGGCCCGGCCTCTCTCTGCGGCCATGGGAGCGTCTGCGCGGCTACTTCGCGCAGCGATCATGGGGGCGCCGGGCTCTGGCAAGGGCACGGTGTCCTCACGCATCATCAAACACTTCGAGCTGAAGCACCTCTCCAGCGGGGACCTGCTCAGAGATAATATGCTTCGGGGCACAGGTTGGGAGCCCGGGCGGGAGGGGTGGCCGCGCGCTGTCACCGGGTGGCGCTCTGTGGGCGGAGGGGCCGGGGCGCGGTAAGTGGGTCCGGCGAATGCAGGTTCAGGGGTGCGGGCGCAGTCTTTTCCAGTTGCCGCCCAGTGCGGAGTCCTCGGACTGCTGAGCGACTGCTCCCCGAAACCTCTGACCTCAGTGCACAGCTTCAGGCGGGTTACTGAGGGAAGGCATAGGACACGTTCGAAGTTCAAAGAAGAAAGGAAACCACATGGTTTTGAGAAGTTTGACCAGTCCCAGTCGCAGCTGCTCCTAAGGGTCCACCGAGCTGTGTATGGCTTATTTTCCTTATGTGTTAGCGCTTGGAGAACTGTTAGCTCTTCCTTTTTTTTACTTTTTGTTTGTTAAACCCTATGGAACTTTCTGGGTCTGACCTTTCCCCCATAACTTGATGACCGAGTATTATTTATCTTCATTGCTGTCGCAAAATTGGCTTAGATCTTTAGACACGAAAGCTATTCTTGTGCCTTGTTATCTGAAAGATTGTTTTGTTTCTCATTCCAAATAAATTCTTATAACTCAGCACAAAATCTACTCAACAAACTGTACACTGTACAATGGGTGGACTTTATCTTATGTAAATTCTATCTTAAGAAAGCTGTTTTCAAAAAGTCAACAGCAAGGTGAGCTGTTTTTTTTTCTCTCAAAAGCGTTGACCTTTATTTTCCAAAACAAAGTCATTTTATGCTCCTTTTAGAAAGTAGAGCTAATCCCTTACACAAGTTAAAAAAGAATTGGAAACAGTTTTGGATGGAAGTACATAATAGTAAAAGCAAAGTCCTCTTATCCCCTACCTCAGTCTCATTCTTCAGAGGGGAGCAGTGTCATGTGTTACCTTTTAGAAATCTGTATTTATGTGCAAGAGTATTATCCGTATCCTTTATTTTATGCAATATATAATCCTACTAAAAATGTGTTCTGGACCAATGTGTTTTCACCTTATATCTGGGATAGCTTTCCATCTGAAAACACAGAAATCCATTTCATTATTTAATATTTGTGTAGGTGTCTATTTGCTGGATCTGCTATGATTTATTTAACTAATCCCCTACTGATGGGTCATGTAGGTTATTTTCTGGTGAGTTTTCCTTGGTTTTAAGACACTGACATTTAAATGAAAAGAAGAATCACTCCACTGTTTTTTGTTTCTTGGAGTTCTGTGGTTCATCACCTAATCTGGTGAATTACTGGTTTTTATTTGTCTCTTCTAACATTGGTCTTCAAAAAAAAATCATCAAGTATTTTGTAGTTAATTAAGCTTCAGAAGATTAAACTGTTTGGCTTACTTGCTAAGTGTTCTTCATGCTATGTATTGATGTCGTTAGGTAACAATATATAGTCCCTGGTACTGCAACCCATTGGGGTAAGATTATCCAAACTGGAGAGAAGTGAAGAATCTGAAAGTGAATCTCTGAAAAATAACTCAGTAGTGAGGCATAACTGCATGTTAGAGACTGCCTTCAGTGGAGTTAAAGATATGTTAACTTGTGAAAACAGAAAACTTAAAAAAATTAAATTTAAAGCAAATTAACTGAACTTTTAAAATTAAGAAACAAACCTCTTTGTTTATCTATAACATCCCTTGACAAGCCCATCATCCTCTTCCTGATTCCACAACGTGAAAAGAGGCAGGAGAGGATCTCTGGGAAAGATGTTCAGTCGGCCTCAGACACCTGCTCTTTCTGGAGTCTCTACAGGCAGTTCTTTAACAAAAAAAGCAGAAGATGGAGTTGAGGGAGGTGTCATGAGGTTGTTACTACAGATGGTCTGTATCTCAGTTCTAAGAATACATTGTCAATAAATATTTGTGAACGGATTGGATATTTCACACAGGATCAGCATCAAAGGAGAGGTGTAATCTTTTATTTAAAAAATACTGTTTAATGTTTTTTTGATGCTAAGAAAAACATTTATTATAAAGTAAGAAAAACATGACAGTATAAAGAAAAGTAAAGTCCTTTATAATTCTGCCATCCAGACACAACTATAATTAACTGGTGCTTTTTCTTCTATTCTGTTTTTTCTCTTTTTTTCTCTATTGTATTTGCATGTGTTTGAAAAATTGTTATAGTCTAAATGATTGCTTGGATACCTTATTGTGATTATGTTCACACATCACTAAGTCGTGTTTAAAATGATATTTAATTTCATCAAGATTGCATAATTATTAATTGAAACGTTTTCCTATTATTATACACTTATGTGGTTAACCATTCTTTGCTATAATTAATATTGTTATGATTATGCTGGTACATGAATATTTGGCAGCATCTCTACTTACTTCCTTCAAATAAATTCCATACTGTGGAATTTCTATAAATACTGTGTCATCAAATAGTGCTAAGGAAGGATGGTGCCAGTTTACCTTCCAACTACCATTTCACAATGATATTGTATTTATAATACATGTCTGTATTTTATAACTAAAGTTTAAAGTCATCACAGCAGATGTGATAAAGACCCTGGAAATAAAAGGCAACCTATGGACAGAAGCAAACCTTGAATAACTGTAGACCACCACTGAACCCTGGAGTCAGAAAACTTGAGTGTCTACCCCTTTGTCATTAGTCCAGCCCTCTCATTTAGAGATGAGGAAATAGAGTTCAGGAGAGGTTAAAGAACTTGCTCAATAATAAAAAGCAAAAAATAAATAAATAAATGATTAAAACCAGTCACCGGGAGACAAGTGTGAACACCCAGGTCTCTTGTATGCCAATTAAATTACTCTTCCCATTATGCAGTATTTCCCAAATTGAGATTCATGAGATAATTTTAGGTAGACAAAAAGTTTTCTCTAAAAGAAAAATAAAATTCAAATTAATAAAATCAATAAAAATTTTTATTTCAACTTGTATTTGGAAAAATGATAACTAGCACACCAACCCTTTAATTTCTTGAACAGTATTAAACAGCTTATTAAAAGAGTCATTTTTTAAAAAAATCTCTTTTCCCATTATTTTTTTTAATTTATTTTTAATTGGAGGATAATTGTTTTATAATGTGTGTTGGCTTCTTCCATATAACAATCTGAATTAGCCATAACAATACATACGTCCCCTCCCTCTTGAAACTCTCTCCTACCCCGCACTCCATCTCATCCCTCCAGACTGTCACACAGGACTGTGTTGAGCACCCCGTGGTGGTGGTTTAGTTGCTAAGTTGTGTTCGACTCTTGCGACCCCATGGACTGTAGCCTGCCAGGCTCCTCTCTGTCCATGGGATTCTCCAGGCAAGAACACTGGAATGGGTTGCCATTTCCTCTCGGGAAGTGGATCTTCCTGACCCAGGAATCAAACACGGGTCTCCTGCATTGCAGGCAGATTCTTTACCAACTGAGCTACAAGACCCCGCATTAAATAGCAAATTTCCACTGGCTATCTGTTTTACATATGGTAATATATACATTTTGACACTACTATCTCAACTTGTCCTACCATCTTCTTTCCACTGTGTCTAAATTCTCTATGTTTGTGTCTCCATTCCTGCCCTTCAAGTAGGTTCATCAGTACCATTTTTCTAGATTCCATATATATATGGGTGTTAATGTATGATCTTTGTTTTTCTCTTTCTAACTTCCTTCATTCTGTGTAACAGGCTCTAGGTTCAGTCACCTCACTAGAACTGACTCAAATGTATTCCTTTTTATGGCTAAGTAATATTCCATTGTATGTATGCCCCACATCTTCTTTATCCATTCATCTGTCAATGGACATCTAGGTTGCTTCCATGTCCTAGCCATTGTAAATAGTGCTGCAGTGAACATTTGGGTACATGTGTCGTTTTGAATTATGGTGCTCTTAGGGTGTATGCTCAGTGGTGGGATTCCTGGGTCATATGGCAGTTTTGCTCCTAAATAAACTGAGTCATTTTAAAGAAAATTACATAGTAAATGATGAATCTGCTATGGCAGAAATTGTACGGTTGCCATGTGATTGTCCAAAGTTTGAGAAACTGAACTGCTGCTTGATGCTTCTCAAAAACATAATCCTGGGCTAAATGAACCCCTTTTGAATCTCATTTGTTCTCATTTGTGAATTGGGAAAATAGAACTCAGTAGGTAATCCTCAAAGTGTCTGTCAGCTCCCAGGTTTCTGTATGTCTAACAAAACTTCTAGTTTGTACACCCAGACAGTGTGGATGTGCCTCATCAGAATGGTGTTGACAGTGGAGCAAGTTATTTTTGTAATGGAGAAATTTTTTATTTGTAATAGGCTATACATTTACTTGGTTTTGAACTCCAAAAAATATAAAAGATTTATATTTAGTGAAAAGATTCTTCCAGAGGTATTTCATGCACATACAATCCATTGTTTATCCCTTCCTTTTTTTTTTCTTTTTTACACAAATCACAATAAACTGTACATGCAGTTTTATACCTTTAACAATATTGCTTTCCATGAGGATTGCTCCATTTCTTTTTTTATAACAAAGGTAGGCCTTTTTAAAATTCCACGGCTAGAATCCAGGATAATCCAGGCAGCTCATCTCTTCATCTG